CTCTCTCTCTCTCTCTCTCTCTCTCTCTCTCTCTCTCTCTCTCTATCTCTATCTCTCCCTCCCTCTCTCTCTCTCTTGCTCGGTCTCTTCTCCTGTCTATCTCGCTTACTCGCGTCGCCACAGCGCGTGAGGGAGCTACCTTATTTCTCCCACGTCATGACCTCGAGCAGCCATTCGAATGGACCAAATCGGAAATAGAAGCCCATTTCTTCGCGTATCCGGCTGTTTTTCTCCCCCTTCTTGCCCCGTCGCGTCGCTCTCGCTCTCCGGTGCTCTCCCCATTAGGAAGGCGTCCGTTCGGCGCGCGTCGCCTTCCGCCGTGACGATAGGCAACCCCTTTATACCCTCCGATTCCTGCCCATCTGCTCGCTCGTTCTGACGTGATCTACCAGGAACCCAGCTCGCCCCGCTGGTGCGCAGCCCCCGGCAGGGTTGAGCGACGAGCGACCAGCTGACCGGAACGAAGCGGACAAGTTAGTCAACGGCTGGGAGCCGGTCGAGTGGCACGCAAGGGTCATGGTGCCAGCGCGTCGTTTGCGTGTGTGCGTGCGTGCGTGTGTGTGTATGTGTGCGGCGCGCGCGCGCCCAGCATTTCTTTCTGATTGTTATTGTGCGTTCTTTCTCGGGACAGAAATTCGAACTTTGGGCCACGCTGACCTCTTCTGCTCTCTCATCCTGCCGACACTACCACCTTCGCCATGATCGTCATGTTCTCGATGGAGCTAAGATAGTGACGACGACGGGAGTGCCGCCCCATCGCCCCCCCCCCCTTTACCGCTTGTGAAGTGCTGGGCAGAGGTTCGGGCGCCGCGTCGTGTGTGACGCACGTGACACATTTCAAGACGCCACTCTCAGTTGTTGTTTTCCACGCCTCGGTGAGCAGCTTTGTGTTACTGTTGCAGTTTGGAGCTCAAGTTATTTTGGTGAGTCAACTCGTTCAGTTCAGTGGCCAGAGGAGGAAACTTTGCTCATTGGCTGAGCCTAAGGTTGAATTTCAGAGTTCACAAAACGCAAGCAAGATTTCCACGCCAGGCGTATGCTTTCCTATTGATTCGTCGTCTTGGGTGTCAGCGCCAGCGCCGCAAGACTATCCTGTGCGCCAGGTGCCAGGCGCGTCGTAGCGAAATAGTTATTCGTGGGATCGCGAAGCCTGTTACGCGAGCCTTGATCTGGCGTCCATACAGCTAGTATTTGTTGTACTCTAACTTTTGTGGTTAAGAACCCTCTAGACATTTGCTATAAAGATTCCGGTAATTACCGGCTTTAAAGCTAAAATGCAGACATGAAGTAGTGCTATAAAGAAGTAGGTACTAAGTAGGCCTACGTCGAAACGTGCGCGGCACTGACTGGCGAAGCTATCTTCTCTGAAGCCAGTGGGCTGAGGAATCTCACGAGGTATGTTTTTGACTGCCTATGGTCTACTGCAACTAATGATGATGCCCTTGTTTTGAGTGAGTGTTTTGAGTGAAGTCACCATGTAGAAGCATAGCGATTTCAGTTTTCTTCTTCCCCGCATTCTTCCGCATTTCAGCTCTACCAGAGTGCTTTGTTGAACGAGTAGGGGACTACCAGTTATTATTTAGGTAGTATTTCAATTAATTTTCTATACACTCCTTTAAGAAAACTCCAACGAGCCCGCCTCAAATTACAATTAAATTTGTATGGGATTTACGAGTATGACATCCGTTTGGAATTCGTATAACAACAAGCCTGATCGAGTTACAGCCTTGGTGACAGACATTTCTCATACGTTTCCGAAGCGCAACAGTTTGATTATTGTCGACCCATTTCTTTTTGAAAGTGTGGTGGGATCTGCCCCCGTTCCTCGCGGAGGTCACGCGGCGCGCGGCCACACCATGGTCCTTACACCGCTCCATCTTAATTCCGTCTGTGACGCTGATGGCGGGCTGCGCCGTGAGCATTGGGGCGCCGGCGAGGCTCCGACACTGGTGGGGCGGCTGCTGCTTAGCTCGCCTCGAGTTTGTGTGGTTTACACGCGGCTCGGAGCTTGTTAATCATATATTTTGTTGACGCGGTTGGCGTGTACGGTGCAAACTGATTTTGTATATCAACGAGGGTGGCATTCAGCGATCAAGATGACGAAAGAAAAAAGTGAATTGCAAAAGACGGTCGACGGTCGCGTGCAATCAATTGAAATTCCCGTGGATTTCATTATGTGTTTCGTCGCCATTCAAATTACGTTTACCGAGGGATCCCGCCAAACAGTTTGAAACCGATTGCCATCTGAGGGCTCTCGGTAAACCACGCGCGATACTGTTTTGCTAAGTGGGTGCGACTGAGGGCGCCCTATATTGTGGTCCCGCGTCGCATAGTGATGGGATGAGGACCCCCCGGCTGACTTTGGCGACGTTTGGAGTGGGTGTACCTACCACTACCATTTGCAATCTAATTGAAGATGTTGGCCGAGTTCTCTGACCCTTCCAGCCCCACGGTCCTCGCCGCACGCCCCGCCCCGGCCCCCCACAACCCTTGTCCATAAACATTTCCCAAACTTCTGGCTTACAATGCGACCACCCGGCCGTGTGATGGAATATACCACCAACGATCCGCGAGGCCCCGTCTCCCCGCTCACCGCCCTGCCCCCAACCTCTCCTCACCCTGCCGCTCATACCCCCCTCCTGCTCCACAACCTCCTCGCTCACACCAGCAAAGACCGGCAAAGACACCGCGGGATTTCGTCCACCTGGCTGGTCATGGGCATGGGCGCCAGGGGCTCACCCCAACTATAAGAGAAACTTCTTTTCTTCAATTTACGACTACGCTCAGTCGCTGTCATTGGCGAGGGAGGGGGGAAGCTAGCGAGTGCGGGTAAAGAATGGACAGAAGGGGCGCCTAGCGATTCTTGCAAAAATGATCGCAAATCGGTGCGACTTTGTGGTCGGCCGCTGAATGTGTCTATTCGGAGTCCCCGTTGTCCCAATCCCAGGGAGGGGCGCGCGGAGAAGG